TGAGCAGTACTTAAAGCATTCTACTGCCTTCCTAACCCAAATTCACAAAATCCATATTTCGCTAAAGAAAAACATGGTTCAGCATGTCACAACAATACTCCACTGCTGAAACAAATTTCTCTGTATTAGGGTTTCTATTGCTGTGATGAGACACCATGACCATGGCAACTTTTATAAAGGAAAACATGTGATTGAGGTAGCAAAGAGGTTCAGTCCATTATTACAGTGGGCGGTGTGGCAGCTCAGAGTAATACGTCATGTAGGCAGACATATTACTATATCTTGATCAAAAGGCAACTAATAGTGGACCATAACACCAGGAGTAGTTTGAGTATAGGGTGATGAAAAGCCTACCCCAGCAATGACACTTCTCCTACAACGTCACACCTATTCCAAGAAGGCCACAACTCCTAATACTGTCACTAATTTTGGGGGCCATTTTCTTTCAAACACCACAGACTTGAACCTTTGTGTGTTGTGGAGAGACTGACCTCAGATATCTTCTTCCATTTTTACCCACCTTATTTTTTGACAGACTCTCTCCTTAACCTGGTGCTTATTGATTCAGCTAAACTCATCCAGTGTACTTCTAGAGTCTGTTCATCTCTGCCCCTGAATGCTTAATGCACAGGGACTCACTGTTATGCCTGACATTTTACATGTGTGTTGTATAACCTATCTCAGATTTCAACTTACACACTGAGATATGATCACAGCCCCTCAATATATGTTCTTTCCCTTTATGCTTATTGCCTGTCCAAGTATATCTTTACACATATATTCAGTGCGAACACTGAGTTCCCTCTTGTAAAGTCCTTTGCAATGCTGTGACAACCCTTGTCATGATACTCTTGGATATGCATGACCAATTGTGAATATATTCCCCATTAGGACAAGAGAAATTAAATAGGTGCAAAACTATGAAGTTTAACTCAACTCTGTCTCATCTCACACCCTAATGAATTCCTATTACCTGAGAAGATGCAGCTGCTCACCTAGGAAAAAATTAAAATGAATAGAAAAATCCATGAGCTAACTATCATAAATAATTGTTTTTGTCTAGCCAATGGGAGATCTCAGCCTTGTAACTATCTACCTTAAACCCCCAGGGCTGTAGTTATTTATTATTTCTGTAGGATAGTTCTTTGACAAATGAACAAAAGTCTGATCTGGCTTCATTAAGAAGGATGGATATAAAGCAACATGTCTGTGCTGAGCCATTGAAAGTGAAATGGGATAATTGCCGTGGTTACAATGAGGCTGATCAAGCTGAGAGAAACAAGTTTCAAATTGTTCCAATCAGTCCTAATCCAGCAGAGTTATTAACAGTGCTCTATCCTGGTGCGACTGCATCTGCTAACTCAGGATAATGATTTATATCACAGTTTATGAAAGTCCCAATTTGTCCTAATTCAATAAGTGAAATCCAGCAAGGCAGGCAGGAGACATATATCTTGCTATGCCTGGAATCCCCATTTCTTCCTTTTTTTCCACACCAACCAACACCATTATGACTGAGAGTGCAGTTGTTTGCCAAGTTTTTGCTTTGTTGTCCTACACAGAGGGAGGTGGTTCAGTGAATTGGAATAAGAGTTCTCATCATACCACCCTGTAGTTCTAAAAGACACAATAGGAAAAATATTTTAAGCAAATCAACATAGTAGAATCAGACAATTAACTACATTTATATAGGGGAATATAAAAATATTTTTATTCAGAATACACAAACATGTAAAGGGAAAAGGTAGATAAAATGATTGTCTTTTATATATGAGTTGGGAACAAAGAGTGGAAGGCCATGAGTGATAAAGAATTTGTTTTTTTTTTGTGAACTCTAATGTTCTAAAGCCAATTGTGAGGGATACACAACCTGTGAATATACCCATTAGATTTTACTTCAAAACCAGTAATTATGTAACTGTCAAGTTGTCATCTCCATAAAGTTGTTTTAAAATAAGTAATTAAGTAAACATTCAATCTAAACATTAAAATAATTGAGTTACTGATAGTTTTGAATCCACCAGGTTTTTATTTTTGATCCAATTAATATGCAGGCAAATTTTATTGCAACCATAGGCACCCATACTTTAATTTTTGATATATTGTTCTGTTCCTCTTCCAAGTTATAATTTCCCCTCATTCCCTCCTAATTTAATGACCTTTTTGGGGAATGTCATTATAGGTGTTATGTAGGTATCCACAGCCTCTGTGTGTACATAATTACCAAGTCCACATCATGTGCAGAAGATAGCAATTTCTATCAATCTTTTTTTATCTTCCAGCCCTTAGATATATTTTCTTCCCTTTCCTGGTGTTCTCTGGCTGTAGATGAGTGATACAGATGTTCTGTTTATGTCTGAGCAATCAACAGTCACTTATTTTCAGTTCTTGAATCAATTAACAGTGTATGAAGTAACCATTCATTGTCCACTGATAAACGAAACTCTCAAAATCTTGGCAGATATCAACATTCATTCAAGTGTATCAAGACAAATATTTAGAAGATAATAACATGTCCATTTAGGAAAAATGACAGTATCAAATTGCCCCTCTGGTTGTGATATTCCTCACACAAAGGGTTTGTCCAGGTTTACACTATTCGTAATCATTAAATCATGGTCTCTCATAAAAAAAATTAGAACTCCATAAATATAACAATACTGTTTATTGTGTTATTGTGCTATGCATGCATGGGTGAAATGTTTCATCATGGTGATAAAAGTGAGTTACCATTAGATCTTAAATTGTTCTTTTGACAAAGTTATGAACCATTGTCAGGTCTAATCCATTCAACTATAGAATTTAGAAAGTAGAAAGGGGGTCATTGAGATATTTTCTTCAAATAATAATTAGGAATAACACTTATTGTAAGTTACAGGAATCTAAAGGGCAGTCAAGAAGTGATTTATTTGTTTGACTACAAAATAAACTTTTGATTTAACCCAATATTATTCCATGGTTATAATTTTTCCTTTCCTATGCAATGAAATAACTACTGGGTCACCAGAACTGTAACTTGCATAGAGCAAAGTTCACCAAGGAAAACATTTACACAATGATATGGACATTACACAATGCATGAGAAATGCATGGCAATTATAGAAAAGGCACATATTGTTGAATGGATTAGTGAACTCAAAGACCTAAGATCATTCATTTACCTATTAACATTCATTTTAACACTCTTGAAAAAGTAACTGGACATTATAATTCAGGTATTTAATTTCCTTTAAATTTTGATGCAATATGGCCACTAGTTTGAGACTTAATATTTCACTCATTCTATTCCTTTATGCTCAGGGATGTCTTCTTATCCCAATTCAAACCAAAGACTAAAATATTTCATGCTACACTGAAATGAGTTGGTGCTCTCTTTTGAGGTACAGTGTGATAACTTTAGTGAACTTCAGTACAAAGCAAGCAAATTCTACCGAAGAATGTTATCATCTAGTTTTTGAACCATGTAACTGAAAATAAAGAATGTCCTCTCACTACCTCATACTCAAGGCTCTGATCTATAAAGGTAAGTTAAAGACCCATCTGTACTCAGAGGGATTTAGAATTTTTCTGATCTTTGGCAATAACTTTAAAAAATGAATCTATCTTTGTGGCTAACCATAATTCTTCACCATTTTTGGTGATTACACATTTTTACTAAGCTTTACTTCAATGCCAGACTTTTGATGTACTGTATCATTCTGTGTGGCAGCCAATGAGATCAGAATTTCTCTCATTCTTATTTTTGTAGATTAGACTCCTGGTGTTCAGAAAGGAAGAAGGATTCTTTTCTAATGTCACATAGCCAGACTCTGAGTAAGTCAGTGTCTACAAGATGATTTCATAATTTTAAAGTCCAAGTACTTAATATTTTACTAAATGAAAGGGGTATATTAGAAAACAAAATAAGTTATTGAATGACCACATTGCTAAAGGAACTGCATGTCATAATACAGCATCTATGCTTTACCTAGCATACCTAACCTCCTGTGGTATAACTCTAAAGTATTTTCTTCAGAATCAAGTTGTAAAGACATATCCCAAGAGAACAACCTCTATCAAATAGATTCCTGTGTATAAGCATAATCTATGGCATTCCTATAATAGTAAGTTAATCAGCTTATGACATTTAACTCAGAATGCACTCCAACACCAAGCCACTATAGGTGTAGGATCCTCTCAACATATCTTCTTCAATTGTCATGTATTTGTTATTTCATTTTTATTCTCAATATAAAATAGAGTTATCTTGTAAGAGGGAATAGCAATTGGAGAATTTTACAGATCACATTGGCTTTTTTCTGTCTATCTTGATGTTAGATGTTAGAAGGGATAGCCCAATGTATGTATGTAGTACCATCCTTAGGCTAGTGGATATGGGCTATATGAGAAATTGGGTTGAACATAAAGCAATTAGTAAAAGAATGAACACTGTTCTCCTTGCATATGTTTAGTCCCTGCCCTGACATCCATATGTATTGGGCTGTAGCTTGGAAGCCTATGAACAATAAATTTCATCCTCCTCAGGTTGCTTTTGGTCAGAGTGCTTTATTACAGAATCAGGAAAGAGCTAAAAAATAGTTCAGATGAAATTAGTTTTAAGATGAGCCATAAATTTAAAAAAATAGAAAATAAAATCTGATTATTTGTAGTTTCTAGAAATTATCAGTTTATAGTCAAACTCTATCACTTATTTGTTTTGAAGCAAATTCCATTTCATACATTGTATAAAATATTCTTCTTCAATTTAGAGAAAAAAAGACTTCAAAATTATTCTTACCAGTGTTGGTTGCTATTTATTAAAGTAACACAAACCTAGACATCTATGGGAAAATGGAATTTAACTTAAGATAAAGCTTTCATAATATTGGTCTGTAGGCAAGTCAGTGGTAGTATTTTCTAGATCAACAGTTAATATGAAGGCTCAGCCTGAAGTGTGTGGTGCCACCCCTGGGCAGGTGGTCCCAAGTGCTATAATAAATCAAGCTGTTTTTTTTTTTTTTAAAAAAATCTGGCACATAAGATACCACGACCAGCAAAGTGATTTTCTTAGGGTGAGACTTATCCGTTGCACTCAGGATGTGGTGTCCCCTGTAATTTTCCAAAATGCAGGAAACTTGACTGCATAATTTTTGGTAGTGGGAGACTGCTTTCACACTTTCCCCTACTTTAAAAGAAATCAAGCTGAGTAAGCTATGAGGAATAACAATCCATTCTTCTATGGCCTCTGCATCCATTTCAGGTTCTTTCCTGAAATTCCTGTCCTTAACTTTTGGTAATGACCTGAAATTTGCAAGATGCAATAAACCCTTTCCTTGCCATGTAGCTTTCGTACTTGGTGTTTTATCACAACAATAGACATAATAATAACTAAGACTCACACAATGTAGATTCTTCAAATTTGGAATTTTAAATTATAGCTATATTTTAATAATTATATTTATTATAATATCACTTATATGTGTGGTATTCATGAGTAAGTGAGAAAAAAGCAGAGAGACAGATACAGAGAGAGATGGGTGGGAGGATGTGTGCTGCTACCATAACACATGTGGTGATGGCAGGGTGGCAATAACCTCTCTATTTCTACGATGAGGGTGGGGAATGTAGTCAAATGACTACATTTGGCTATAAGTGCCGCCCTAACCCCTCTGAGCCCTTATTTCCATGGCCCCAAATTAGAATTTCTTTGACCAAAGCCCTGACTTACCCAATCTGAGTGTGCTGTTAGTATGGGTCAGATTGGACTGCATCCCTGGGCTGCAGTGGGTCAAGGCTTGAGGCCTTTGGAACAATACTAAAATGATAATTCAATGAGGCAATGTAGAATCTCACTTGCCCGGAATTCATGTTCACTTTTTTACTAGGCCAGAGAATGCATGAACCCTGTCTGAAAATATCAAGTCTACATAAGCACTTATGAGACTTTCAAACTCACAGCCCCAGCCATGTTAAAGAACCTGAGTATTTATGCTAGTTCCCAGAAATGTGTGTCCTTAGAAGGACTTAAGGTGATTATCATCAGGATTAAAGATTGTTCATTTATTCAGGTTGGAGATAAAGCTGAGGTGTTTGCAAAGTACTGATACATTATACAGTTTGTCTATACTACACTGCTCAGCCACAATAGCATGAAAGCCTCCCCAGGAAACAAAGAAAATATAAAACTCTGGAAGAACTTTACTAATGGGCAAAAACATGTAAATATCATATAATTTCCAGTGGTCATAAAATAGTCTTTTGAAAAATATTTGTCAAATTTTAAAAATATTCTAACCATTTTTATATCTGACAGCGCACTCAGATTGGACATGTTAGGATTTTGGTCAAAGACATTCTAATTTGGGGCCATGGAAGTAAGGGCTCAGTGGGTAAGGACATTTGCAGACAAATGTAGTCATTGGTTCTGCCATAGGATGATAACCTTAACTGAGCAGATACATGTTTATTACATGTAGATATGTCCTTCATGAAAAATTTGTATCTCAATTTAAGTTACAGAAAATTGTTCAGTCATGACAAATAGTACTTTGCACTGGACATACAAACAAAACCACAGAGTAATGGGAGATGTCATTCTGTTAATATATTTCTCATACTGGTTAATTAATAAAACACTATAGGCCAATAGGAAAGGAAGATAGGCGGGCCTAGGAGACAGGAAAGAGGAAAGGGGTAAGGAAGAGTCAAGATTGAAGACAGAGAGAGCAGAATGCTGGCGAGCTCTCCCTCCGGTAAGATGAGACCACGTGGAGTTTAATAGAAATGGGTTAATACTTAAGACAGAGCTAGCTGATAAACAAGTAACTGGCCAACAGCATTATATCAAATACAGAGTCTCAGTGCATCATTTGGGGCTGGTGCGGTGGTAGGACAAGACCAGCAGCGGGTGGAAAAACCTTACTCCTTACAACAGAGGAGGTACTGATGAAAGTACCAGAGAAATGAAAGACTTTTTAAACTTTAATAGTGAATGCCCCTCTTTGGAAACTTGAATATTGATTTTTCCAAAATTGAACATCTCAACACTTCCACTTCCCTTTCATCTCTGGACCACCTCAAATGTGCTTCTGGTACTGCCTTGCCCTTATGAGTATTGTTATGGGTGCTCCCTTAGTGGGATTAGGAGTACTTCATTGGTGGATATATTTAGTCTCCACGTTTGTTTTTTGTCTTTAATCCCTCATGATATCTTCTAATCAGCTGCTCTGCTAACTGGGGGCCTAGCAAAAAGAACTCATGCTATGAGCACATCTGTTCACATCTGGCATATAAAGGGTAGTAGGTCACATTTGTAGAGGCAGTACATCTGACTTCACAGTAGTTTAATAAAAGAAAAAGATGAAAGTCAAGCCTAAAAGTTATTGGAACTCGATTGATCACAATAATTGGGGCATTTCCAGCTGGGATTCAGCCTGGCACAGAGACCAAAGAATGAGGCAGGTTAGGATCAGGGAGCTGGCAATTGCCAAGTTCTTTTCTCCCTTTTGTTTTTTCTGGACTGTGACATTAGATTGTGAGCAGGCTTTTTCTTTTTGTTCTCTCTTTCATTTTGTCCATCTCAGTTTATGAGGCTACTCAATGTCACTCCATTGTGTGTAAGCAACAACCTTAACTGTCCTTACATAGCAACGATCAGCAAAAGAGACAGTATTTCTACAAATAACTGGTATGTTTCATCGACTTTTCTACTCTGGTCCTTATTGGACAATGGAATCCAAAGACCATAGTTCAATGGGGAAGGTCAGAAGTGATTTTTGATTTATTGAAGGACTGCCTGCCTGAACCAGAGGCAAGGGAGGACACTGGGAAATAACTAGAAAAACAGGCTGGTGGAGGTGGAATCCAGATTGAACTGATATGGAAATGATCTCTAAATTCTCTTCTAGAATGAGTCATTCAAGGAATACAGAATGGATCTATAGAATTTTAACCAGATAGTTAACAAGGCCATTTTAAATATTGAAAAATTTGGAGACTTTTTCTCTATATATCCATACATATTATCCATGTTATTATTCTTTAATTGACATCCAGTAAATCCTTCTAATATTCTTTTTTCTCCCAATTTTTATAGCAGGTAAATTCACAAGAATGTGAGTCCATCAAAACAAGGTGATGGCATTGCATATCTCTCGTAGATACTGATAGATTTCTTTTTTTTTTTTTTTTTTTTTTTTTTGAGTGTTTATTTTCCCATTAACACAGCACCTTAAACTATTATTAGCCAAAACTTTGTTGGTAAATATGCATTCTAAGTGTTTTATTGACCATTCTGTCAAAGAGTTTATGTAAGCTATTATTCTTGGGGAGATATGAACAAATGTTTAATTACCCAAGACCCAAGATGGGGAACTGATGATAGACCTTAAAGATACTATATTGCGGTTAAATAAGGATCAGGATAAATAAATAGGCCGAATAGATGTTTATTCAGGGAGAAATAACTTACAACCTAAACAGACGAACACCAGCAAGTTCAACCAGATGCTCTCCTCTATATTACCTGCCAGCAAGAGAGTGTTCCCCAGCTCCTTCTCAGACCTCCTTCCACTGGTCACTTCCACCCCTAGCTCCATCCCCAATGGGCATGGTCAGTGCCACAGAAGGAGACAAACTGAATATCCCACTACAATACTATCAAAGTCCAACATTGTGAAACAGTGAGTTTTCTTGGGGTTGCTTACAGAATGTGGAATGGAGGGTACTTACAGGACCACAAACAACAGAAGAGCAGCTGCATTTCCAATTCCTACCCCAGCATATGTGACAGTTCACAAAAGGTAGAAACCCAGAACATACCGCAATCTTCAGAAATCTCACCATTTTGGAGAACCTCTTTTTTTCCAGGTTCTCCAATTGCCATGTACCTCTTCCAGGCATTTTATGTGGTTTCTGTTTCCATCAGCTCTCTGGCAGGTCTCTTCTCCTTCCAGTGCCTGGGAATGTCTGAGAGTCTTCTTTGCTGCTTTACTGTTTATTTGCTCTTGGGAAGGGAGAATATTAGTGAACTGGTTACTTTCATGGGAATGGTAAATTTCAGGGACTTTCTGCTTTACTAAGTTTCCTTGAATCATGAGGGATTAAAGACAAAAAACAAACATGGCGACTAAATATATCCACCAATGAAGTACTCCTAACCCCACTTACACAAATTATGCCTGAATAGACATCTATATAGAAGTGGGAGGAGATGGTTTCTGGAACTAAATCTATTACTTTATTGACTCTGAAAACTATTCTCTTTTGTTTGTTGGTCTCTTTGTTTCTTAAAGATATGTTATTCTATATTATTTGCCAAATATTTAGGGAAGACATTTATAGAGTTAAATATAATGAGAGCAAAGTGATTCTCAAATGCGTACTTACCAGCTAAATATATAACAATACAAATTGTGCAGTTTGCTAAAGAATTTTATTAAGTTGACGCAGAATTCACATGAAAAGCATAAAGTAGTATCTTGACATAGGCACTTGAATAGATAAAGTAAAAATACCATATGCTACTAAATATTAGCAAAAAAGAATACAAATTTTAGCTTGGACTCCTTGCTGGTAAAAGAGTGCATTATTTTGAATGTTTGAACAAACTGTTTAGCAGTGCTTGGTAAAGTGTGTGCATAAACACACATATGTAACTATACATACCCTATAACCCAGCACTTCTAAATCCAGAAACTAAACAGAGCTAAATAAAACTGAAACATGCACTTATATAAACTCCCAAAAGATATACAAAAAAACATTCGTAACAGACAAATATTTTAATATCACCACAATAGATAAACAACCTCTGTGAATGACACACTGGGTAAAATACTATGTATTTGCCCACAGGCATACTAAGCTATGCCAAGAACAAACTTTTGCTAAATAAAGCAGCACAGACAAATCCAAACAAGAAGCTAAGGAGATAATTGCCCAGCATTTAAAAACATTCTTCTCTTGCAGAGGACCCTGGTACATGTGCCACCAAGTACATAGTGTAGCATACAACCACCTAAAATTCCAGGTTCAAGCAATCAAGGTATTTCTTTAAGCCACTGGCATCAAAATACACATGAATTCACATTCAGAAATAAAACCAAACACACACATTAGGAAAAGTTGCTAGAAATAGCTAATTTCAAAAGAATATAAACAATAACAATAAATTTTTAGGTAGAA